AAGATTTTAACTGATCAAATATAGAAAAATTAACATTTTACATAAAGAACACCTGCTTAGATCCATCAAATTTCTTTTCTCCAATTTCACATAAAAACAAACTTAACAAAAAAAAGTAATACTTAATAATATTGGGCCTGTGCTGGCACGGGCCATTGCTTTCTAGTATATAAAGGGAAAAGGGTCTGATATACCCCTCAACTTCGTCATTTAGAGCTGATATACCCCTCGTTATGAAAGTGACTCATATATACCCCTACTTATATACAAATGGCTCACATATACCCTTTTTCTCTAACGGAAATAGAAAAAAATTAATTTTACTTTAATATTTATTATTTAGAAAAAAAAAAACATAATCCCATATGAGTATATTTAATCCTCCTCAAACAATTTTTTTTTTTTGACTTTTTTTTTGTTTCAATGACTAATTTAGATTTATTATTTTGATGGTCAAATTTATTTATGTTTCACTAATATTCTTGTAAAACTTATTATAGATGACCAAATTTGTTTCTTCAAATACAAAAAATAAATTACAATATAGACAAAAAAAAAGTAGTTTTAAATTATAATATAGCCACAAAAACATAGTTTTAAATTTTTTTCTTTACACTAAGGAATGAAAGAAAAAAATAAAATAAGAATAAGAAACTCAAATATTTATAATCAAAGAAGTCAAAAAATAATTTATGTATGAAAAAGATTAAAATATACCTTGAACTTTGCTAGAAGAATCATATATACCCCTAACTAATTTTGAAGAAAATTAAAAATCAAAAATATAAATTTAAAACTAATTTTTTCACTTCCGTTAAGTGAAGGGTATATGTGAGCTCATTTTGTAACGGTAAGGGTATATGTGAGCCGTTTGTATAATGGTAAGGGTATATATGAGTCACTTTCATAACAAGGGGCATATCAGCTTTAAATGACAAAGTTGAGGGGTATATCTGGCCCTTTTCCCTATATAAAATACATGAATGTGAATTGTAACATTCATTTTGTTTTAATTCTATATTATAAGTTTTTTGGAAGATATGTTTTTCTTCTCAATTCATGAACCTATAATATATTTAATTAAAGTTTTCTCTTACAAAACTTTTGTCCTATAAATTGAGTTTTTTTTGGTTGAAAAAATAAGTACTCAAAAAAACTACTTTTCCGTAGAAAATCAATTGTGAGACATTAATCAAAAGGTGAAATCACCAATTCAAGAATAGAAGAGTAACATTCTTGAATGCCACTTATTTTGTGACTTAGTTGAATCTCAAAGATAGAGTAGTACTTACTATTTATTCTTCTATTTGCTCGTGGGCAGAGGCGGAGCCAGAATTTGATATTTTTGGGTTCGAAATTTTAAAACAGAACAACATATTAATCTAACAGAACAACCGTTAAATTACAAATTAAACATATAACCACTATCATTATAATTGCACTCGATAAGTTGTTATGTTTTGAAAACTGTAAATGATATTGTATCATTAGGTACACTTTCAAATACTTCATTTGTTAATATAAAAATTTAAGTTATTTAATTTAAAGCTCTCAAATATTATTCCGTAAAAAATAGATAAGTATTATTTTGAACATTTTTTCTATAATCTCAATATTATTTTAAGTAAAATTAAAACTATTAAATTCACCATAAATATTTTTGGGACCTAAAGAAAAGGTATGTATTACTTGCTTCACGTTGGAGCCTCTCTTGCGTTTGAAAGTTGAAGTTTTGGGAAGCAAACAATAATTTAATTATTATAATCAATTATTAATATGTGAAACAGCCCTAAAATCAAAGATTAAAAATAAGAATTTTTAATAAATTGTTATACAATGTAAATACAAATAATAAATAAAAGAGAAAAGGGAGAGTCGAGGTGGAACTAAGAAGAGTACATAGTACTTACCAGGCAGAGGTCCGAATTCCGATAACAAGTAGTAGCAATGAAATTGACAATAAAAGTTAGAGACCTAACATTTTTGCAAATTAGGGTTTAATGATCTATTGAATGTTTGAAAGGAAATTAATAGTGATGTTTTAGAGTATGACACTTTTTTTTTTGTTATTTATAATTATCTATTTTGAAATTAGTAGTTTATTTTAGTGTATGACACTATTTTTTTATAATTATTTTCAATTATCAATTTTCTATTTTATTGTTTAAAAAGAATTTAGAAAAATCTATATAGGAAAATTGAATCAAAGAAGGGTTAAAGATAGGCACGAGCATATTATTAAGCAAATTAAAAAAAAATCCGGAAAAACTGAATCAAAGGAAGGCGAAAATAGGCATAAGACATATTATTAAGCAAAAATAGAAAAAATATAGTTATTCAAGTGGGGCTCGAGAACCCACACAATCAAATAGAATCAAAGCCTTTGCTGCCCTTGTGCCTACCACTGCGCCATTCACGTTTCTTTGATATGGGTTCGCAGCATCAACTTATATTTGTACTTTATTTTTTTAGTATGAATATAGGGTCTACGCAAAAGCTAGTGGGTTCGTCTGAACCCCTAAATAACACTGTAGCTCCGCCCCTGCTCGTGGGAGAGACTCCCACTATCTTCAAGAAACGTTCTAACGTGCATCTAAGCCAAGAAAGTTTTGTTTTGGATTCCTTGTACTTTTGTCATTCTTGTTCTAATAATTCGATGATAGTTGGCTCTATGACATCCATATCAATATCGAATAGTGTTTCATCTTTGCCTAATCCTAACTTTGAAATATTTGATGACAAAAACTTTTAATTTCTAGATGACGTGGAAAGATGGAATTCTTTGTAAGATGATTAGAGTTGACATATGTTCTTGAGAGACCTTGTCCTAATGCTCTCGGTTCTGAGATAGCAACAGACAAAGCTAATCTGATTAAAAAAAATTGTCAAATGGCAAGATGATGATTATTTATGCAAGAATTGTATTCTTGGAGGAATGTCCAATAAATATTATGATCAATATTATATTAAGTGTAAATTTGCTAAGGGGATTTGGGATACTTGATAAACACTCAAATTACCCTCAAAACATATTCGAAGAGTAAGCGGTCATCGTCAATAAAATACCCAATTAAGAATCAGGGACGAATCCCACAAGGAATGATATAATGATAAGAATTCAACTAAATTTAGGAATGCGAACCTATTCATTGTAGCACGTTAAGACAAATGGGTGGCCTATTCTACTAAATTTACTAAAATAGGGTATAGTATCAAATGCCACAATTAAACTAAACTTAAAAAATTCAAGCAATTAAGAAGTATTTTAGGGGTGCGGGAGTGGGAATCGATGTCACATAGGGGTAATTGGTTTCTCAATAGTGCTAAACAATCATGGATAGGCTGGGTCATCTTTAATGACATTAATCGTCTTTCGATTTCATAGTACCAATTCATAGAATCTCCTTTCGGTCTCATCTATGTGAATAAAAAATCAACTCATTACCTTACGAAATCTCTCTTTCGAGCAGAATTGGGCAAATAGATCTGAACCATAATCTCTCTTTCGAGCAAACAATAGAAATCAAATCTAGATTGCATGCATTAAACTAATTACCCCACTCCAATCGATCTCTTTTGAGCATCAATCGGAGATCGAGAATAGGATTAAGTTTGCAACCTTAACCCATGAATTAACCTCATGCTAATTAGCCTAAATCCATGAATAAACAACAATAAAATAGAGCAAAACACAATAACCACTACATTAAATCAATAACCAACTCCATAATTGCACCACTAGAATCAGGGTTTAACCACCCATCACAAAAAGTAAAGAGATTACACCTATCATGCTCAACCATGAATGTGATGAAACTAAGTAATTATAATCAACACCCACTTTGATTTCAACTTGAAATTGTCAATTTCAAGAGTGGAATTAAAACCCTAAAACTAAAGATGTTTTTCACAAGGTAAGAAGTCTCATACAAAAGAATCTCAAAAACTCTGAAAAACTCTCTAAAAAGAACTCATATTTTCTCTCTCTTTTGGGCTATTTATAGTTTCCCAAAATTTGGCCTAAAATTCACTGCATGACAAACTTAGCGACATTAGTCAGGCTCACCGAACACGATCAACGGATCGCCGTTTGTTCCTCAGCTCGTCTTTCATTTTCTTTAGTTGTTTGAACCTCAATTGGCGAACTCGTTCGATTCTGCCTTTCACATTTGGCGGATCGCTGATTACCAATTTTGTTCTCCTTTTAAGCCTTCAATTTTTATCAAAGTCATGTCACCTTCAGCGATGGTCAACTTGTTCGCCCTTCTTTTTTGGCGAGTCGCCATTTCACATTATGGCATATTTATGGGTATTTATGGACAATGACATGGAAGAGCAAGGAAAACTAGTTGCTACCGGCTAAAGAATAAATTATAGGCCATCAAATTGAGTAACAATAGAGAAAGTGACTATTGACTAATCTATGAAAAAAACATTCAATATTGAGAAGACAATTATATCAAAGAACAAATATTATAATTGTAAATATGTAGAAGATAAAATTCATGAAAGAGTAAGAATTTTACAAACTTTCAAGTTCTTAATATATGTGACAATACCAAATTTCTAATATTTAGATATTAGAAAATAATCATTAATAATCTCAATGAGGTCATGGATTACCGCGCGAAACGTGGATAAGTTATCTAGTCTTATTTATAAGAGCTTTTAAAAGAAAGAAAAAAACATGTTTTTACAACACCACTCATTTAATTTAAATTCGCGTTCTATATATTTAGAATTCAAAATTCACTTCTTCAAACTTGCAAATAGTTGTGATGTTAATGTTTAAAGCCCTTAATCAGCTACATATACAAAGTTTCTTAAAAAAGATAATTTTACCTTAAATGACGTTGTTGTGTAAATAGGCCGACTCATTTATTGAAAAAAAGTAGTGAATTAATTTTAAAAAATTAATCTTCTTATTCATGATTTGTACACGGAGTACACAGTACAAGAAAACATTATAACTAATAGGAAATGAATGGATTAAGGAATAATACATTCAAGAACCAACAACTGATAACTTATTGTAAGGAATAATTAAGTTACTGAAGCTATTTCTCCATGAACAAGCAGTGAGAACAATGAGCAAGAAGGCAAGTGGTGAAGTTGAAGCAAACTGGTCCATGTCATGAAGTATCAATCTTCCAATTGTAAAATAGAAGATCTTATTCAATAAATTACTAATTGATTTCTGCCATTGGAGTTTGAATCTTTCCCTCAAGAAACCATTCTTTATTTTGTGCATCAAATTGAAATCTGAATAGAAACAACCCAATAGAAGATTAGAGATTTATTTGGAAGAAAGAAAAGTCTTATATAAAAAATATCACAATTCAAATAGCTACTCACTTTTCGGGAGAATGGTTGAGCTCCTAGAAATACTTAGTAGTGAGTTGGAGGTGGTGGAGAAGCATAAATGTATGCTGGTGGAGGAGGTGATTTCACGGGTGGAGGAGGCGAGCTGTAGTAATAGGGTGGAGGAAGAGACTTTACTGGTGGAGGTGGAGAGTGGTAGTAGTAGGGTGGTGGAGGAGAAGGCGATGGTGGAGGAGGTGACTTGTAGTAGTAGTGTGGGGGAGGTGATGGGGATGGTGGAGGAGGAGACTTGTAGTAGTAGGGTGGTGGAGGAGATGGGAAAGGTGGCGGTGGTGACGGGGATGGTGGAGGAGGAGACTTGTAGTAGTAGGGTGGTGGAGGAGATGGGGAAGGTGGTGGTGGTGACTTGTGGTAGTATGGTGGAGGTGGAGAAGGGGATAAAGGAGGAGGAGACTTGTAGTAGTAAGGTGGTGGAGGAGATGGCGATGGTGGAGGAGGAGACTTGTAGTAGTAGGGTGGTGGAGGAGATGGTGAAGGTGGTGGTGGTGACTTGTAGTAGTAGGGTGGGGGAGGTGACGGGGACGGTGGAGGAGGAGACTTGTAGTAGTAGGTTGGTGGAGGTGATGGTGATGGTGGTGGTGGAGACTTGTAATAGTATGGTGGAGAAGGAGATGGTGATGGAGGAGGAGGAGACCTGTAGTAGTAGGGTGGTGGAGGTGATGACGATGGTGGTGGTGGGGACTTGTAATAGTATGGTGGAGGAGGAGATGGTGATGGTGGTGGAGGAGACTTGTAGTAATAAGGAGGTGGGGGAGAAGGCGATGGTGGTGGTGGGGACTTGTAGTAGTAAGGTGGGGGTGATTTATAATAGTATATTGGTGCAGGTTTTGGTGATGGTGGAGGTGGAGACTTATAGAAATAAAGAGGTGGTGGAGACTTAGTTGGTGGAGGCGGAGATTTATAAAAATATACTAGTGTAGGTTTTAGTGATGGTGGAGGTGGAGACTTGTAATAATAATGAGGTGGTGGAGATTTAGTTGGTTGTGGCGGAGATTTGTAATAGTAAGCAGGTGGTGGTGGAGACTTATAAACGTATGTGGGGGTTGGGGGAGGTGGTGATTTATACACATACTTTGGCGATGGAGGAGGTGGTGACTTATAAACATAAGTCGGTGATGGAGGTGGAGGAGATTTATAGTAGTATGGAGCAGGTGTAGGCTTGGGCTTTTTGCATTCTGCATAAGGTGTCTTAGAGCCATAAGCAAATGGCTTTGCATAGAGTACAACTTCATAGTTATTCTTTGACTTCACTTTAAGGTTAGCACCCTTTATTCCCCAGTGAAGGTTTGTAGGAATTCTACACTTTGAATCCTTTGGAGCATTGTGGAGTTTAGCTTTGCAAGCCTTTGCTCCATATTTGCGATATTCAAATCCTTCAACTGTGATGCTAAATTTTCCATTGATCTTAGTGGTACCATAACTCACAATTTTCTTGTCACCAGCCTTGCAAGTTACTTCAACAACAGCACCTAAATCCATGTGAAAACAGAAATAATACATTAAAACAATTAATAGATCTGCTAACATATGAACATTTAGATATGTCCCCACTTTCTCCAGAACTATGCCCTGTATTCATCATATAAAATTGTAGTAACTTGTTTTTCTCATAATAAATACTCTTTCATGCAAGAACTAACTACTTTCATGCAATTGTCAAAATAGTTGTTGCCTTATAAATTTTCTTGACGTTTCAAAATCTTCATTTTAACGATAGATATTGATGACGACAAAAAAGGATTGAAAATTCAAATAGAAAGAGACACGTTTATGAATTATAATGAAAGCATATAGTACAAAGCATCAAAGAGGAGAATATATAGTTGGATAATTAAGAGAAAATAAAGAAAACAGGCATGATATAAAAACTATGGTACCTTTCAGGTGCTTCTTTCCATGAGACATTTTTGGGTGCTTCCAATCATAGCATCTAAAACAGTAGACTTTTCCGACAACTTTGACCACCAATTGATGATGTGGAGGATAGTAATGAGTTGGAGGTGGGGGAGACTTGTAGTAGTATGGAGTTGTTGGAGGTGACTTGATTGGTGGTGGTGGAGAAGTGTAGTGATATGGTGGAGAAGGTGATTTCTTAGGTGGAGGTGGGGAGGAGTAGTAGTATGTAGGAGGTGGTGACTTAACAGGTGGTGGTGGGGAAGTGTAGTGATATGGTGGGGGAGGTGATTTCTTTTCTGGTGGTGTTGAGGAGTAGTAATATGGTGGAGGGGGAGACTTCATTGGTGGTGGTGGAGAATTGTAATAGTACGGGGGAGGAGGTGATTTAGTAGGTGGTGGTGGAGACTTGTAGTAGTATTGTGGGGGTGGTGATGGGGATGGTGGAGGAGGAGACTTGTAATAATATGGTGGTGGTGGTGATGGAGATGGAGGTGGAGGAGACTTGTAGTAATAAGGTGGTGGAGGAGAAGGTGAAGGAGGTGGTGGAGATTTGTAATAATATGGTGGAGGAGGTGAAGGAGAAGGTGGCGGTGGAGACTTATAATAATATGGCGGGGGTGGTGATGGTGAAGGAGGTGGTGGAGATTTATAATAGTATGGTGGTGGAGGTGATAGTGAAGGTGGAGGTGGAGACTTGTAGTAATACGGAGGTGGTGGTGAAGGTGATGGTGGAGGAGGAGACTTGTAGTAATATGGTGGAGGTGGAGATGGCGATGGAGGTGGTGGAGACTTGTACACATACGGTAGAGGTGGAGACGGTGAGGGAGGCGGTGGAGACTTATATACATATGGTGGAGGTGGTGATGGTGATGGAGGCGGTGGAGACTTATACACATATGGTGGAGGTGGTGATGGAGAAGGGGAAGGAGGTGATTTATAAACATATGGAGGCGGGGAAAAAGGTGAGGGAGGAGGTGGAGATTTGTACACGTAAGGTGGTGGCGGAGAAGGAGAAGGAGGTGGTGTTGACTTATACTCATACATCGGAGGTGGTGGAGAAGAGTATACATAAGGGCCTGCCGACACTACATTAGCAACAACCAATATGGCCAACGCCGTTAAGATTTGTGGCAAATACTGACAACCCTTGGCAAGGCCGCCACCTTGAAGCCTCATTTCGCCGGAAAATTACACCACCTAGCCTCCCAAATGTGGCTAGTTAGAGTAATAAGAAAGGAGATAACCTTAAGTGTTTTAGTTGAGAAGTGTTGCCTTTTGGGATTCATTGGCCTATGCATTTATAGTAAAACACCTTGAGAGGTAGCTCTGTCTAAAGGACCAATTCAAATGTAAAAGAATATGTAACATATTCTAAAGGACCAGTTCTAATTTTACTTATAAAAACTCCACTTCTTGATCACTTTTGAATATTTCCATTGAATTATTTTCACATCATTTACCTGCTATAAAGAAAATCATGAGAACAACATATGAATGTGCAAAGAGACGGATCACTTCACATGCCACAAAATGTTGCTAAGGGAAAATGATTGTTAATTTTCAATATTTCCACTCTCTTACCATTTTGGTTTCCATGTGTTGCCTCTCATGGACATTCAGAGTTTGAGACTTACAAGTATCAATAATAATAATTGAATGATAATCATACACAGTTAAAAAAAGAGAATTTTATTCTTGTTTCTTTAGGTCATTAGTGGTAAAAAAAAAGAAATCAAACTTAAAATCAAAAGTCGTGGTAGCATGGTAAGTATTCCTCCATGCTTAATCAGAGGTCTCGAGTTCGACTTCTAGATATAAAATCATTTTTGATACTTGATAGAAAGCGTTTTAATTACTCCCCATAATGAAATTTTCCATTGTAAATTCAGATAAAGCGGACCCCAAAGCAAAAAAACCTTCCTATGATGGATGCATGGCTTCAAGTAAGTTGATTTTACTTGTTGCCAACTAGAAATGTTGATTTCTTTGACATTGAAATGTTTCAACTACTCCATTATATTTGGTGATATACTTAAAAATAAGTTCGACTATTTATTTTATTTTGAAATATTTTTATTAATTAATTTCAGAAGCATTTGTTCATGAACTAAGTTATTAAAAATCAATTTCTGTCGTTTTCAATTAATACCAATTATTAATACTTAATAAGTAATTGTTTAATTTTTTGAAACTTGCCATGCACTACTACTAATTCAAAAAAAGAAGTACAAATCCGTACTTCAGATATTTCCCATATTTTCTTTATTAGTATACATTTGTAAAATTAAAGTATTTATGTTATTTTGTATGAGGATTTAAGTTAGAGATTAAATTATATGTATTGACAAAGTAAAAAATATCTAGCTCTTTGATCTGTTCTATATTCAACGAATCACCTCTTAATTTGTCTTATATCTAGCTCAATTTTTACTTCATACAATTAGATGCACATAAATTGGTCAGAACATCATGATTATTAAAAAAAAATGATTTGTACAATAGTACTGTGACAAAGAAAATCGACTGTCTCTATAATTTCAAACAAAACATAAATTTATTTATTTATTTAGTTGACTTTGCTCCAATACAAACAAGATATCTTTATTTATTCTTTTCTAAAAAGTTAAATGTTTTATTACTTCGTTAATCAATTGTGAATTCTAACATATCATGAAAGAATATTAGACGTGGATTGATTAACTTTTTAGACACAATATTTACAAAAAAAATTATTTTTTTAAAAAAACTATAACATTGATGTTTAAGATTTTAGTCAAATCTTTTTTTTATAAAATTCATTATTTAAATATTTTAGATTTTGTGATCCCACCGTTGCTCCACTAAGGAAGACCTGTGATTAGGAGTGAAAATAAAATTGGATAAATTCATTAGTTTTGTGTGATATTTATATTTTAAAAAATATTTAAAATAATTTTGAATTCAATAGGTAAGCACATACAAATGAAACTCAGGTAAATAATCAAATGAAATCCATTTTACGAAATAATTTGATCTATTAACAACATTAGTGTGATAATAGCCCTAATACTAGAGAGATTATCACCGCAAGGCATTAAGTAATAGGCCATAAGCGTCTATAAGTTATGTGGTAATTGAGATTCCATAATTAAATACTCAATCATGACTCCATCTTTTCTTGTATATATAATTATATTATGGCCTTTATGATCTATTCATTGTAATAGTTATAACCATTTTGGTAGACAGTGAATTTCATCCAAAGGCTAAATACGAACGAGAGACCAATAACTAACAAGTATCAAGATGAAAAGAATTTTAGAAAAAAAAAAGTGAAAAAAATGCTTGAAATTGTGAGGAGGGATGCGGATGGGTAAACGATGCGCCCAATCAAATGTGGAATGGTGATGAGCCAGTCCACTTTTTTTATTTATTAATTAATGTGCCAGTCCACTTTATCTGTTGACCGTGCTGAAAAATATAGGAACATGACCTTATAATACGTAAATAGGTACCAAGTTGATAGTACAAAATGTCATCTAAAAATGTAAAAATGTTACATCTACCTATAACATTTCCTTGGCTCACGCATCGATGAAGAACATAAAGATATGTGATTCCAGAAATTTAGGCCAAGGATACCAATGTTCAATCTCTTTTATACTCTCATCAACACTAACTATTCCAACAAATTATAGAACTTTGTGAACCATCAAGTCATGGAATGCAAATTGTACCAAAAGTCGTTAGGCCAAGGATACATACATCTACTTAAGCATCATGCATCACATATTTACGTCGCTAAAAAAGAAAAAGTAAAAATGATTCAATATTATTTTTACCTTTTTCATAAAGTATAATTTTACTACGAATGAATTCAATTGAACCATTCACCCAAGGATTTTAAAGTAATCTCAACAAACAATTATTTTCTGATTTAAGGTAGGAATCTACTAATTAGAAGGTGCTTCTGACATGGTATTAAGAGGCATTTAAGATAATTAAATTATTAACTGATAGCCGCCTTCTACAAGTGTATTTTAATCTAGATGATTTGACAGTATAAAAAAATGAACAATGCCAGAATTAAAAAAAGAAGAAGAAAAAGACATTTTGGAAATCCAAAATTAGGGGTGGATGGACCATACTTAGGGTGTGTTTGGTATGAAGGAAAATGTTTTCCATGGAAAACAAGTTGATTTTTGACTTATTTTCTCATGTTTGGTTGGTGAGTAGAAAATATTTTTCGAAAAAGATTTTTAGTGTTTGATTTATGAATGAAAAAATATTTTTGAGAAATATCTTTTATTTTTACTAGAGTAGAAAATAATTTTTGAAATTGATTTTTTTTTTTAAAAACAAACTTAAATTTTTTTAGGGGTGAGGGTTGTTTGGGTGGTGGGTGGGGTGGGGGGATGGTA